CGGCGGCGACGGCGACAACGACGGCGACGGTGATGACGGCGACGGCGAGGCCGACTGCGACGACGACGACGACCACGGGCAAGGACGACAGCGACGACGACGACGGGGACGACGACCGAGGACGACGAGGCGACACTTAGGCGACGGCGACGACAACGATGTTGACGACGACGGGCGACGACGACTAGGAGGAGGTCGACGACGGCAACGGCGACGACGACGGCGACAGCGACAGCGACGGCGACGGCGACAGCGACGACAATGACGACGACTACGAAGTCGACGACGACGATGACGATGAGGACGACGATGACGACGAGGACGACGACTATGACGACGATGACGGCGGCGACGGCGATGACGACGACGCCGCCGACGACGACGACGACGGTGACGACGACGCCGACGACGACGAGCACGACGGACGCCAACGAGGAGGACAACGACGAGGACGACGACGACGACGCCCACGGCGGCGACGGCGACGGCGACGACGACGACGACGGTGGCAACGGCGAAGCTGACCGCGACGACGGCGACGACGAGGACGCCAAACACGGCCGCAGCGCGTGTCGACGAGGAGGACAACGACGAGGGCGACGTCGGCGACGACGGGATCGAGGAGAAAGACCACGACGACGACGACTACGACCTCGACGGCGACCGCGACAGCAACGGCCACGACGGCGACCACGATGACGACGACGGCGTCGACGACGACGGCGACCGCGACAGCGACAGCAACGGCGACAGCGACGGCGGCGGCGACGGCGACGGCGACGTAAACGGCGACTGCGACGACGACATCGACGCCGACGACGACGAGGAGGACGGCGACGGCGGCGACGACGACAACGGCCACGGCGACGGCGACGGCGATGGCGACGGCGGCTGCGATGGCGACGGCGACGTTGACGGCGGTTGCGACGAACACGACGGTGACGACGACGACGGACGACGGACGGCGGACGGCGGACGGCGACGACGCCGATGATGACGACGACGACGACGACGATGGTGACGATGGCGTCGTAGGTGGCGACGACGACGACGACGACCACCGACGACGACGACGACGACGACAACGGCGACGACGACGGACGGCCGGCAGACGGCGACGACGCCGATGACGACGACGACGACGACGACGACGACGACGACGACGACGACGACGACGACGACGGTGACGATGGCGACGGAGGCGACGACGACGACGACGACGACGACCACGGACGACGACGACGACGGCGACAACGGCGACGACGGACGACGACGGCGACGGCGACGGCGACGGTGACGGCGAAGACAAAGACGACGACGGACGACGACGACGACGACGAGGACGACAGCGACGGCGACGACGAAGGCGATGCCGACGACGACACGAACCACGACGAGGACGACGACCCGAGCGTCGTCGTCGTCGTCGTCGGCGGGCGCCGACGGCGACAACGACGACGAGGACGCACGACAGCGACGACGATGACGACAGGAGCGACGGCGACGACGACGAGGACGACGATGACGATGGCGACGACGGCGACGACAGCGACGACGACAACGACGACGACGGCGAGGACGACAACGAGGAGGACGACGACGTCGCCGATCGACGACTGACGTCCGACGATGACGGCGACGCCGACAACGACCACGACGGCAACGGCGACGACGACGACGACGACGACGAGAACTACGATGGCGACAAGGACGACGGTGACGCCGACGAGGACGACGACGACGGCGACGACGACCACAACGATGACGGCGACGGCCACGGCGACGACGACGACGGACGAGGACGAGGACGACTACGCAAGACGACGACGAGGAGGGCGACGTCGATGATGATGACGACGACGGCGATGACGCCGACGGTGGCAACGTCGAAGTTGCCGGCAACCGCGACGACGACGGCGATGGCAACGACGACGTCGACGACGACGGCAATGATGACCAGGACGACGACGACGACGACGGACGATTGCGATTGCGACGACGACGACGACGGCGACAAAGACGACGACGGACGACGACGACGAGGAGGGCGACGACGCACGGCAACAACTGTGATGTCGACGACGACGACGACGACCACGTCGACGACGATGACCACGACAATTGTGACGGCGACGACGACGACGGCGCACGACGACGACGAGGAGGAGGACGATGTCGACGACAACGGCCACGGCGACGAGGACGACGACGAGGTCGACGACGACGATGGCAACGACGACGTTGACGACGGTGGCGACGGCGATGGCGACGGCGACGACGACGACGACGGCGATGGCAACGACGACGACGACCACAACCACGACGACGACGACGACGACGATGACGGTGACGGCAACGAGGGCGACGACGACAACGACGACGGCTTGGACGGCGGACGACGCCGACGGCGACGACGCCGACGGCGAGGAGGAGGACGACAACGACGACGATGACCGACAGCGCTGGACGACGACGTCGTCAGCGTGCGCCGACGACGACA